TCTTGGAGGCCTCACTCTGATTGATATTCCCTGGGGTCTGAGGTTCTCTGTTAGACCAGCGGTTTGGACTTTGAGCTCCCAGCACAGGAGCTTGGGCCCGACCTCTGGCCTGGGAACCAAAATCCCACAAGCTTCATGGCACGGTAAAAAAAAAAAAAAAAAAAAGGAAGAAAGAAAGAAAAATAGGAGGAGTACAATATCAAAGAATAGAAAACAAAATAAAATTAGAAAGATAAAAAATATATTAGGAAAAATAAAACTATAATTGAAACGACTGCCACAAGGAAAAAGGGGGCGGTGGGGGGGAACGGGGCAGCAAGCCAAAAGGAGAGATCACTAACAAAGTATAAAGAATAAAATAAAATTAGAAAAATAAAAGATTTACTAGGAAAAATAAAAATATAAAAGAATCAACAGCAATGAATCAACAAGGTAAAACAGAGCCCCAATCTAAAAGAGGAAAAAGTAAAGGAAAAAAAAAAAAAGAAAAAGCCTTGGCACGCGGGGGGGTGAAACTCAGGCAGGGGTGGGGTTTAGGCTGGGGTGGGACCTTTGCGGGTGGGGAGTTGACGTTTGAGTGTGGGGCGGTACCTCTGCTAGGACCCGCTGAAGAAGGTAGAGGCAGCACATTGAAATGAGGGCCTCTGGAGGGTGGAGTTCTGGAGTTTTCAGGTAGGGCCCTGAGTGAGGGTGTGTGGGTGGGGTGTAGGCCCAGCTCATTGGAGGGGGTCTCCGAGTGTAGAGGTGGGGCCCTGGGTGGGGGTGTAGGGGCGGGGCTTGGGTTCTGCACAGCAGGAGGGAGGTTCCAAGGGCAGAGGATTAGGCCTGGGAGCCCAACAGGCTTCCCAGTGCCTGAGTGGACAGGGAAAGCACTGGCCCCGTTCCCTTCTGTTCCTTTACGCCCTGCCGTACTGTCTCCCCCAGCGTCTCCCCCGTCGCTGCTGGACCCCTTAACCGTGGGTGGGTCCCGCTGGGTGTAGGAACTCCTCCCCTCCCCCAGCTGCCCCTCAGGGGTCCCAGAGGTCCGGCCTTTACTTTTGCTCCCCCTTCCCTCCCTCCCACTCCCTCAGGACCTGCGCAGCTGGAGGGAGCCTAGGTGGGCAGAGGATCAGGCCCCGGATCTCAACAGGTTCCTGCGGGTCCGAGTGGGCAGGGGAAACCTGGCCACGCTCCCTTTTGATCCTCTGCCCTCCCAGTGGTTCCCCCATTTCCCCCTTCGGGCGTGGGATCCCTTCCCCTCCCCCAGCCGCCCCTCAGGGGCGCCTGTCCCGTCCCGCCTCCACTTCTCCTCTCCCTTCACTCCCCCCGCACCCCACGTCCTACCCGGTCGCTGGGGGGGGTTCCTCCCATTCCCCTTAGGTGTCCGTGGTCCCCCACCGGTGCCTGGTAGGTGCCCTAGTTGTGAGGAGACGTGAATTCCACATCCTCCTAATATGCCATCTTGAGTCCGCCCCTAAAATTGTTTTTTATACATTGCATTTTCTTAAGATGAGATTGTTCATACAATGCTCACTGAATCATGGAGCAAATTTTCATTACTATTACTGTTGGGCTGCACTAAGCTGCCCTGCAAGCCCTGTACTTAACCAGTTTCAAGACAGAAGAAATAGCCCAGAGTCAGCAACAGAGACATCAGTGGTTTATTGGATGGGGGAGCTTAGACATCTGAAGCAAGGTCCTGGAGCGACACCCCTCCATGTGTGGGGGACAGTGGGAGGACATGGGGCAGTCTTTGCTCCGGGGACAGTGGGTTACCAATTATAGGGGGAATTGACATCAGGTTGGCTCATTGGTTAGCAGGAAAACCAGCAGAGGAGCACGCCTCTCACTGCTCCTTTGATAAGCTATCACAGTGGCTAAAGTAACAGCCATTAGCTAAGACCTGGGGCAAGTATGTGGGGAGGTTAGTCAGGTGAGTAGGGTGTAGGTGAAGCAGACCTGGTCAAGCAGGGGATGTACAGAGAGCAAGAGAACAGCCATCTTGGGTGGCCTGATCATACAATTACTTTAAAAAAATACTCTTTATTGACTTATTGTAAGTTCCTATACTAGAAAATTTATAATATGAAATACTAGGTTTAGAGACAGAGATACAGCAGACTATAGTGTAGAAAATCCTGTCTGTATCTCACATGATAGTGTATGGGAGGTAAAATCAATTTCCCTTTACCCTTCTGAGTTCTTGGCTGAGATCTCTATGACAAAAAACAGATGAACAAGAGAAAAAAAAAGCCCAGAGGTTTATTAACACGAATCCTCATGTATGCATAGGAGATACCCAGAGAAAAATGAAAAATGAATAATTCTTAGAGGTGTCTTAGAACTTCAGCTTATTAAATACCATCTTCAGCTAAAGAGAAAAGAAAGGTGTGGGGAAACTAGCTACAGCTAGGGGGAGGTTACCAGGAAAAGAAAGATAAACAAATATAAGATTTGTTATGCAGATTTAAGTCCCTGCCCTCTTTATTGATAAGGGACTAAACTTGTCTCAGAATATTCATTTCTGTCCTTGGTAGAGAGGGGAACAGGGACACTTTTGTCCTGTTGTTAGGCAACTGGAGAGTAGAGAGCTTTTCTTGTATCTGTTTCTTCTCAAGTTGCCTTCAGTTCAAAATAATCCTTATGCCAAAGTGGCATATTTTGGGGTGGCATATTCCGCTACCCTTCAGTAGGAACTTCCCTGCGTAGTTCTTTCTCTAAGAAAGAGACACATTGCCTAGAACTTCAAAGGATCAGATATTTTATCCTACTTGCAAGCTAACAAGTAGCCTGCCACAATTTCATAGAAGTTGACAGAAGGCATGAGATTCCTCTGTCAGAGACAAAGAACTTTGTTACTTACAGCACAGGCAGCATGAGCTTCAGGTTCTCATGCATTCCTTTTGCTCCCAAGTTCCACTGAGTGAAATGGAGCTCCTAGGTGGGTGATGCAGAAGCAGTGGGTTTAAATCAGCATGAAGGAACTCTAAGCTTAGGAAAGTCCTGCTAGCAAACCTGAGCAAACTTTGCCCTGGAAGGAGACATTAGCTTTGCTATCTTGCAGCAAATCTCTCTGCCCTTGAGGAAAATACTATCCCTATCTTGAAACTACATGTGTAGAAATGCAAGGAACCCATGGAGTTTTGAAAAAAATGTAATGCATCGGTAAGGCTAGTATGATGAAAAGAAGATGTGCAAAAATTCTGACCAGAGATTTAGACTAAGATTGTAAATGTAAAACACTTGATCCTCTCTGAGTATTTCTTTGAATACGCAGTTAATCAATTAGAATAAAACTTTGCTATGATTTGTTTTGCTTTGTAATGCTTTATCACTTGATGCTTTAATGAGTCAAACGTTCTTTCCTCTTATCAAATAGGTTTTGCCATCCCCCTTTATTTATTTATGCCAATAATTTAACCTCACTGGCTAAAGTATTTCTTATTGTGTTAGGGGAACCAATGCACATTTTGTCAAGAGTGGCTTGTACCTTAGCAATCTTCCTTTCTATCTCTTCCTGAGAAAATTAGGTTTCACAAAGTTCAACAGGTTCCTCCTCTGTAATGTAACTGACCAACAGTTACTCAGCTTTGCAAGGTTGATTTCCTCTGCTAATAGATGACACTTGCTTCCACATCCTTATTTTTAAGAAACATTTTAGTAGTTGTCTTATTCTTCAGGGATAACTCAAAATAATATAATTATGGTCTTTTTGTTTGTTTTTAAACTAAGTCTACAGCTGTCCGGTCCCTGTGTGTGTCCTGTCCTTTTCAAGCTGGAGCTACAAAATTCATTTGAGCTCCAGAGAAAAGCAGAACTGTCACTGACTATTACTTAATAAATCAAAGTAATTGAGCATTTAACTTTTGCACCGAGTGATTAAAAACCAAGCTGTTCTTCGGTGGATATAAGTAGGAGGCACAACTTAAAGAGTTTGCCCAAATGTTGAGTCATTTGTCGGGTTGCCAGATAATATATAGGATGCCTCGTATATTATCAGTGTGTAAACAGCGAATAATTTTTTTGGTGTAAGTGTATGATCCATGCAATGTTTGGGACATACTCATATTTTTTAAATTTCATTTTTTTTTTAGAATAAAATTTAACTAGGGCTTCCCTGGTGGCGCAGTGGTTGAGAGTCCGCCTGCCGATGCAGGGGACACGGGTTCGTGCCCCGGTCCGGGAGGATCCCACATGCCGCGGAGTGGCTGGGTTCATGAGCCATGGCCGCTGGGCCTGCGCGTCCGGAGCCTGTGCTCCGCGGCGGGAGAGGCCACAGCAGTGAGAGGCCCGCGTACCGCAAAAAAAAAAAAAAAAAAAAATTTAACTGGACATCCTGTATTTTTATTTGCTAAATCTGGCAACTTCTGGTCACCATTTATCTAACAAACTATAATAACCTTTTGGTAAAACTTGGTGTCAGGAGAGTTTTAGCTCAGAAGCACTACCTTTGGAGTAGCGGTCAAGGTTTCATAGTTTTGATGATGTGACATCAACGCTACGGAAAAATAGATGTAAGTAACTCTTCATGTTTTGAAATTCAGAGATATGTATTCGGTAGCCCAGCTTCAAAAGAGTGGAGGTTAAAAGAAGTCATGCACTTGCTGGTCTGGGGTTTTTAAGGAGAAAAGAAACCGACCTAGATGGGCTTTCCAGAGAGGGTGGAAGTTACTGTTGCAAAGGGTTCTCGGTTTAGCGAGAACAGAGCGCAAGACCCGAGCGAGTCAATAAAAGAGGAATAGGAAAAAGCTGGCCACGTGAAGCCAATCAGAGACGAGATGGATGGGACTAGCCTCGGGTAAGGGGCGGGCGTAGGTACGATAGGCTCCGAAGGGCCGGCCTCAGCCAATCCGAGCTGAGTAGGGCAGAGCTGGACTCCGGGAGGGGTTGGTCTTGAGGAAGTGAACGGCGCGGCCGGCAAGTCTGTCGACCTCACCTTCACCTGCAGCTGTACCTCCGCTTTTCTCCCAGCCTGGCGGACGCTGACTAGAAGGGGGACGGTTGACGTTCGCAAGATTGTCATGGCCTACCCGCGATACGGAGCAGGGGTGAGTCCTGGCCGCTTCGGCGCGGCCTCTGCCTCCGCGGGGTGTGGCGCTCCGGCGGGCGGTGCCAACGTGCCGGATCCGCCTTCGGTCGGTCCCTGCTAACTTCGCCCGCCTCTGGTACTCGGCGGCGAAGGGACTTCGCGCCGTGCAGGAAGCCGGGGCTGGGGCCGAGCGGGGAGCCGCAGGTGTTCTGGTCCCTGAGGAACCCTTAGACGAGTCCTTGTGGAGCCAAGGGTGTGGAGTGTTTTTAGAAATTTCTTCCCTGGAATGGAGGAACAAAGCATCCTTTTTCTTGTTCCAGTAATCTTGTGTGGTCCGCCCTCCGTCCAATCCTCCTAACCCCCTCCTCCCCAGTTTTGCTAGACGTTCTTTTCCTGAATTTTTTGACCACTTCTTTTCTGTTCTCTATGTTGCTTATGAATAAATTAAGGTATGCTAAATGTCTTCTAATGTTTACTATTATTACCAAGGACAGTTTTCTCCTAGACTTTTGGGGCGGGGATGGGGGAGTGGGGAGGTGGAGAAGATTATACTTTCTTACGTAACTGTTTATCCTGCATCACTTTTGGGAGTTGGGAGTTGTGACTGTAGTATCCATTATGGTAACAGGAAATAAAACAAAATTTAAAATTTCAATTTACATGCATATTTTTATTTTAGGTAAGTGTTATAGTGTGATCAGTATTTTCAAGCATAATGATACATTTTAAGTATAGAAAGCTTATACAGTTGAGGAAGAAATAGAATAAAAAATAAGTTCCAAGAATAAAAGGAAAAAAGGTAAAATTTCTGAATGTTCCAGAAGAGCCTTTTCATTTCTCTTAAAAAAAAAAAAAGGGTGGGAGCAAGTATCAGGTCATTATAGTATGGAGATAGCAACGGATACTTTCCAAAGAGTGATGTAAGACATCATTTGTGAATGTCAAGATTTACGGTGTATTAGGTACTGCATTCTTTACAACTATTTAAACTTAAGAACGTCAAATGTCAACATAAACTGTGGGGAAAGGTATATAACTTTTCAACATTGTTTTAGGGATAGGGAAGCAAATGTTTGAAGAACACTGACATAAGGTACAGCTGGTATCCTGAGGTATGAAGTGGAGTTCTATGCAGCCTGTTGTGACTTATTACACAGTTTATATGTGCAGAATTCTCCAGGGTTACAGATTATATGATCTAGTTTAACCAAAGTAACCCTCACAAAATGGACAAGTAGTTGAAAATCTCTGGGATGAAACTAGGGATCAAAGATAATACTAAAGATTCAAAAATATGCACTACATGAAAATGACATTGCTGACACTTTTAAGTACAAGGTTTTCTTCAGTCGCATTACCAGGTGATGACAATGATGACCTAATGATCAGTTTTGATTGATTTGAAACTATTGGGAAGACAACTTGAAATATGAATTTATTATAAACTACTTTTCAGGGTTTACTTTGTAGGCTAGGGGTCTGAGTTTCCCTCCTTGTGGGCGCTTCCCCATGGGTCTTGAGCATCTTCATGCTGGCCATGTTCTAAGAGAGAAACTAAAGCTGCCTGTCCTCTTAAAGTCTTAAGCCTGGAATGCATGTGGTGCAGTTTCTACCAGATAAAGCTGAAACAGGCCCAGTGCAGATTCAAGGGAGTAGAGAAAGTCTTTGCCTTTGCAGGGGAAAGGTTGCAAAGAATTTGCAACCATCTTTAATCTGGCCTCCACCAGGCTCTGACATTTTTGGATTTTGGAGAAGTTAATATTGCGAGACAGGAAGGAAAGGTAGATAGAAGGTTATTCCTAAGGCCAGGTTCTTCATGTAATACTGCTTGCCTGACTTTGAATAAAAAACAAGTATGCTGAACCCTCCAGGCACACATGGAGATGCCACAGTAGAGGGTCTATAGCCAGTCTCCTGGCACCACCTCAACATGAGCTTTTCACTAATAGGCTTATATTTAGTTTGGCCTCTCTTCTTAGAAAAAAGTTTTTTCAGTTTTCCTTCTGTGAAGCTTAAGGTGTGTGGGTCTCCAGTAAGCCTTAATTTCTTGGATATGCCCCAGGCCTTGATTGCCCTCCACGTCCTTGGAGCCCTTGGAACCAAAGTCTAGGTGTTTGTTTTTTGCCTCAGAGCAAAAGCTGCTTTGGGAATTTTGCTAATCCTTTTACCTCTGGGTCTAGACTTGTCCCTCAGTATTGGCCTGGAAGTTTCCCCATATGAGTGAGGAAATTTTACCTTTTTCCTTTAATATTAAAAAATAATATTTTAGGAAAATTTTCTTTTTTTTTTTTTTTTTGCAGTACGCGGGCCTCTCACTGTTGTGGCCTCTCCCGTTGCAGAGCACAGGCTCCGGATGCGCAGGCTCAGCGGCCGTGGCTCACGGGCCTAGTTGCTCCGCGGCATGTGGGATCCTCCCAGACCGGGGCACGAACCCGTGTCCCCTGCATCAGCAGGCGGACTCTCAACCACTGCGCCACCAGGGAAGCCCTAGGAAAATTTTTTGTGTGTGTGTGAAGATTGATCTTATCCTAGTTACCCTTATTAGAAATAGGAAGTTTTTTTTCCTTGAATCAATATTTGTAATTTATAGAATTTAGATACTTTTAGAAGGCCCATTTCATTTACATTTTCTTTTTTTAAACTTTATTTTATTTATTTATTTTATTTTTGGCTGTGTTGGGTCTTCATTGCTGCGCGCGGGCTTTCTCTAGTTGGGGAGAGCCGGGGCTACTCTTCGTTGCATGCGCGGGCTTCTCACTGCGGTGGCTTCTCTTGTTGTGGAGCATGGGCTCTAGGCACGCGGGCTTCAGTAGTTGTGGCTCGTGGCTCGCAGACTCTAGAGTGCAGGCTCAGTAGTTGTGACACACGGGCTTAGTTGCTCTGCGGCATGTGGGATCTTCCCGGACCAGGGCTCGAACCCATGGCCCTTGCATTGGCAGGCGGATTCTTAACCACTGCGCCATGAGGGAAGCCCCTACATTTTCAAATGTATTGGTAAAGACGTGTTCATAAGCATTTGTTAATATGTATTTTTTAATTTGAATTCTCTTTGTGGTTATATACACTTCTCTTTTTTATTCCAGAAACTGGCCTGTCCTTTGACAGTCTGTCTCTTTTCAAAGAATAACTTCTAAACAATTACTTTTTTTTCAAATTCGTTATATTGTTTTAATGTTTATTGTTCCCTTTCTTATACTTCATTGCTTCATAATCTAGTTTTTGATCCTTGAACACATTTCCTGGAGCTCCCATACTTTCTGCATACCTTTTGCCTTTACCATATCCCATGCTGCAGCTTTTCAAACTGCCACTAAAGGCTCCTACCTTTTGCCTTTTTCCCCCTCTTAGAACTCTTTTCTCTTTTTGCCCATCAACCTCTGCTTATTCTTCAAAGATGCAGATCAAGATTTTTGTTCCAAATGGAATAATGAACAATCTTGATACTTCTTCCTCCTCCAGACTCATTAAAAACAGTGAGCAAAATATCTCTCTAAGATATAAAAAAATGTATACCAAGTTCCAAAGTGAAAAGAAGACAGTAACCAGAGCCACAGCAGGAAGCAAACAGTATGTAGTCTCTGGGTTCAGCTTCATATTTGAATCATGGTCTACTTCTTACTAGCCATTTGACCTTAACTAATTCAGGAAACCTCTTGAAGTTTCACATCCTCAGCTGAAAAAAGGATAGTACTTTCATATCTCACTGAGTTGTTGGGAAATCAAATCACATGGTAGATGGAAAGTAGTTAGAACAGTACCTGCAATATTAAAAGCTCTCAATAAATATTAGCTGGGTATTATTATTGTTGGTATTCTCGTTGTTGTTATTCTTATCAGTTTTGAAGAGGACTGTTGTTGGAATTATCACTTTATTGTTCTGTTCATTGATATCTTGCTTTTCAAAAAATAAATATTTTCTAGTGGAGGGGATGTTTCAGCCCTACGCATCTTCCCATGATTCATTCACAGTTTTGTTGTATTGTGTTTACCATGTATTCTATGTGTGTGTCTTTAGGTATTCTACTTCTTAGTTTTACTCTAGGTGAAAATTTTCTTGTATTTTTTACTTTTTGCTTCTTGTATTTTTTACTTTTTTAAAGTGTGCCTCATTCTTAGAGGCTAGAGACTTCTTTTTTCTTTAACACTTTAAAACGTGTTGGATAACAGTTGTTAATGAGCTGAATTAAGTAATGCAGGGCATCTCGCAGTTTGTAGCTAACAGCTTTTGTGATAATTTGGGAGCTTTCAGTAACTCGATTTTTGCTTTTCAATGGACTTCTCATAAGTATTTTCTTTTAAACCAACTTCAGTGGATAATGGGTAATATTTGTATTAATAACCCTCTCCTTTTTCACTCTTGTAGCTTGGAAATTTTAGCAATCAGATGCATATGGGACAGCCAGTGCCAGGAACAGGGCCAGCTGTGCTCCCTGGTGGATACCCTGCATACCCAGCTTATCCCGACAGTTATTCCTCAGCGGGAGACCCCATGTGGACATACTTCACTGCTGTTGCTGACCAGGTAAAATCCTAAATATATAGCACAAATATCAGTTCTAAAAACTGATTGCAACTTAAAACAAATGTCAACTCTTTTATTTAGTGTGTCATTTTAAATGTATATGAAACTTGCATTTTAAACTTATCTAGACTAATTTTCTTCTTGAGATCAGAGATGAGGGTAGTCATAATTATCTCATTAAAAAGTCTGTTAGTTTGATGTCTGACAACGTTAGGAGTAACCAGGGTGGTGCGTGGAGACTGAGCCAGATAGGATCTGGGAAAAAGAGATCTGTATGTAAATCTCCTTGAGGAAGCTGGGGCAGAGTATCACAAAGGAGACTTGTAAATTGTGGATGTTTCCGGGAGAGGCTTGATGGTAAAGCAAATCAGGAAAAGATAAAGGAAACAAGGCAGAATGAAGGGACAAATACCAGACTAATGAGCAGAGACAGAGATTCATACTTGGGTCTCAGTCACAGTCCATGTCTCTTTTCTTTTATAGTGGTCAAGAATGATTTCTTGAGTGCATAGAATTTCATAGAAGTTTGATAACATTTTCCATTCTTTATTCAACCACTGAAATGTTCACTAGGTCCCATATGCCTTTCTAGAAATAGAGGATATGCACAGAATTATTACATGTGGCAGACACTTTGTTTTGGCTACCCGAATTCCATTCAAAACCTCCTTTTCCCTTTTCACGTGTGGTAGTGGTTGGAAAGCCCTAATACCATCTCAGACACCTTTCTATAAAGGTAACCATGTGCCATAAGACTGGCCATTGAGATGTAAGTGTAATTTCTTTGGGATGCTTTCCTTTTCCAAATGAGGAAATCTTTCCTGGAACCAGTGTTGGCCTTTTCTCCACCTTCACCCTACTGCCTGGAAAGGGGACTTGCAGTATGGAGGTGCTGCAGCCATATTGTGATCTTGAGGCAACAAGCTTGAGATAAAGGCCTGTGGATGGGGAATGTGGAAACACGGAAAGAGATTGATGGCCTCATTAAGTTGTCACAGAGTCTTGTTCTGCATAGCCCCAGACTTCTTGTATAAAAACAATAAACATTGATTTGTTTAAGCCCCTTTTATAACATTTTCTGATTGTTTTGCAGTTAAATGCAATCCTAACTGTTGTATTATGCCACTCTTATCTGCAAGGAACTCTTAAGTATAATACTGGGAATAAGTATGTTATCTATAGCTGACTATATAATAAATCCACTTTATAAAATTACAACTTAAAACGTAAGAACCAGACATATATATTTAGAGACTTTTTTTGACTTAAGAACTATTTCATTGTAACAGTTGTCAACAATGATTTGCTATGATTGTACTATTTGATACTTTCCTTAAATTTTTCAGTCTTGTGCTTTTGAATAATTAAATTCCATAAGGACGTGGCCCTTGTCATATTGTCTCTTACCCAGGAGGCACTAGGATTATATTAGTCATTGAATGGATGCATAAACTATCTCATTTTCAATTTTTAGTCCAAATATTTAGACAGTTCTCTTATATGATGAATTTTGTCTGGCTTTAAGGGTTCAAGTGTAGTATCAGATTTATACATTATGATCCTAGAACCTAGTTACCAAACTCACCTCTGCAGCTATATTCTTTTTTGATAGGCCTCATAATTAAAGATACTCTGAGAAATGTCCAATTAAAAGTTTCTGCAGTGTCCCTTTTTATAGGAGGATGTTTTCCTAACAGTAATGATTCAATCATCAGTTGATTCAGGGAAATTCTGGTTAGTACGTTCATAAATACACACAGGCACACACACGTATACACACAGAAGTATCTTGATAATACCAACAACTTTAACTTTAATGTGCACACTGCTTGCATTTTTCCACACAGCAGCTCTGTGAGGTAGGTCAGATGGATGTGCTCTTTTATTATAGATGAGTAAGTAGAGATTAAGATTGATTAGCCTAACAAATAGGGCTTGAACTTGAATATCATTTCAAAATCTTGCTGCCTATCAGTTAACCTAACCAAGGGCAATTGATTTTTTGTTAATTATCTATCTAAAGCTCTTAATATTTAATTAGAAAATGCAGTTTTCTACCACTAATGATAGGTAATTTAGTTGAGGGTTTAGATAGTTGATCACAATCCTCAGCTCAAACTGCCCATAAAGAGATGCAAAATGATCACTTGGATTTTCTCCTTATAATTTAGGAAGACACTGCTTGTTAGTTAATTAAGATAACATGTTTGTATAAAATGTATGAAATACGAGTATGAAGTAGTGTACCAGGATAATGCTTTCTGATAGTGATAAATAACTTTCAGCAGAGCTATTCAGGTTATTAGAAAAACTCCAAAATTCTATAAAAACGCATGCAAAATAGAATTTCATTCGTTAATTAGGTTTTAGATTTTTAAATTTAATCCGTACTTGAATGAGAAATTGTAATAATTTCATCCTTTTGAAATAGTAAATGAATATGGCTACAAACTGTCAGAAGTGACTACAGTTTAGTGAAGAACCAAAGGAATTATCTACATTCTACCAAACAGCTAACTTGCTTTGTACTAGATACTGGGCTAGGGTCTGGGGATGAAAGGTAAATGAAACTCAGATACTGACCTAGACGATCTCTGTCTAGTCAGGGAGATAGACCCGTGGGAAATGATAACGGTACAGGGAGAGGCGTGCTCAAGGTGAGTGAGTGAAGATGATAGCAACACCGAGAACATCCTCCGACCCTTATACTTGTTCTCTTTGCCTAGAACTGCACTGTCCAAATTAAATAGAGTGTGAGCCACAAATGCAAGCCACATATGTAGTTCTCAAGCCTCCAAGTAGTGCATTTTAAGGAGTAAAAAGAAATAGGTGAAATTAATTTTAATGGAATATTTTATCTAACCCAGTGTATCAAAAAAGATTAACATTTCAACATGTAATCATGTAAAACTTATTAATAAGATATTTTATTCTATGTCGTGGTTACTAAGTCTTGGAAATCTGGTGTGTATTTTACACTAACAGAACATCTCTGTTCAGACTAGGCACATTTAAGTGTTCGGTGGAATGTAGGGCTAGTGGCTTCTGTTTTGGACAACTCGGGCCTAGAGCACTCTCCCTCAGATGTCTGCATAGCTCGCTCCTTCACTTTCTTCAAATCTTTCTCAAAATTCGCCTTATATATGAGGCTCTGCTTTACCATCTATGTAAAATACCATTGGCCTCCTCACTGTACTCCACAACACTCCTTCTTAGCACCTTTACTCTGCTGTATTTTTTCCCTCAGCACTTACTACCATCAGATGTAATTTCTGCTTTACCGCCTCTCTCCCACCACTAAAATGTAACCTCTATGAAGGCGAGGAATTTGTTTTGGACACGGCTTGGTACTTAGTCCATTTAATGGTGCTTGAACGTGTTAGGTTGTTCAATAGATATATGTTAAATGGATGAATTTCTTATTCTTTCTAAATGGAAGATATCTGTTCATTTATTTCTCTGCATTTTCTTAGCATACTTGTTTTAATGATTGCTCTATAAAATTCTTTCATCCTGTATGAATTTGTTCTGAAATGGTTCATTCTTGTGGACTGTCTTTCTGAACATTAGATTTTTCCACATACTTTGGAATATTGGTTCCTTAAACTTACAGTGAGTGAAGTTTTTGTTTATTCTCCTCACCCCTCCCCTAACCTTTTGTCCCCTTCCACGTTTCCCTTCCTCTCCCCATGTCACCCTTCCGTACCTAGTGGTTTTGTGATTTTCCCCACCTAGATTGTGTCCAGAATCAGATTTCACTGACATATAAAATCCTTTGCCTTGAGTTAAGTTGTTCTAATAAATACTCGGGTTTATTTTCCAGAAACAAGCAGACTAAAATACAATAAATAAACCAGTACATACTTTAATATCTTAAAAATGTAAAACCGTCAGGTAAATCTAACAGGCTTGATAGACCTAAACAGGGTCAATATCAAGAGACAAATGAAGTGAATGATGCAAGCACAGGGTCAGATCCTTTGTTTAAAAACTGGATATTTATTCACAGAATTTTTGCGTTAATTTTTTTTTAATATTGCATTAAAGCATTACTGTGACTACTGAGTTTTCTTAAACTTCCTTATATTTAAAGGTTAGTCTCTCACTTGCCTGATAATGTTTATAATACTCCTTAGAAGTGTCTGTAATACTTCTTAGAAGTAGTTTGTAAAAGTTTTGTTTTTTTCTTGGGTTCTTACAAATTACGTGTTTTAAATTTGCCTCCTTAATCCTTTCTCAGAGTTGTTGTTTTGAATTTGTGACAGTGTATGTGATGCTTCCAAGTAAATTACTCTTTATTTTTGTAGAAAATAGGATGAGGTACTGAAACATAATGAGAGTATTCAACCTGTTTCACTTCCACTGTGGTTACTTGTTTGTGATAAAAAAATTTTTTTCCCCGTAAGAAGGTCAAACAAGAATATTTGGACAAAAAATCAGAGGGGACTCTAAAACTTTGCTGAGGTTAATGCTGTGGAGGAAAAAGATATTTTCTCTTCCCAGTTAAAGATTCAGTATCCTTTAGAAATAATCTCCCCTCAAAATGGGCATGAAAGGAAGTGTTTGAGACTTCTCTGAACGCATTTTAGCATTTTAGGCATTTTTCTAACTATTTTAAGTAGAGGTATAATGATTCTCACAAGGTATTACTTCGCACTATTATAGGACAGAGTGATTATGCTATATTTCAGAAGTAGAGAATATAACTTACATTTGAAATACCTGAATAATTTAATAGAATAAAATTTGATTGTGAAAAAAGTATTCATGTTGTGTGATGTTCTCTAATGTGCCTTTGCCGTCAATAATTATCTCTATAATTTTGTAGTTGATAATAGAGTAGTATTTTAAAGATTGCATATTTATTGATCGGCCTAGAACAGTTAGTTAGCATTTTAGTATGCTTTTATACAGCTGATTTTATTAATCAGGTTATAATTATTTTGTAACAGGATGGTGAAGTGGATGCTGAAGAACTTCAGAAATGTTTAACACAGTCTGGAATTAGTGGAACTTTTTCTCGTGAGATCTTTTTTTTCCTCTGTTAAAATTGGACTAGGAAATTCATTTTCTAACTTTTTTGTTTCCATACTTAAAATATAAAAAAAAATTTTTATCACAGATATACATAGTTCAAAGAGCCAAATAATTCTGCGAAGCTTGTTATGAAAATACTGTTCAGCATGCATTCCTCCCTCCCCGATGTTAACCACTCGCAGAGAAAATCTCTTTAAAGTTCTTCAGCTAATTCTTTTGAAATTTGCCTCCATATCTCAAAATAACATCCTTTATCACTATGGATTTTCAGTTTTAATGATCATCAATTATTATGTCCTGTGGTGGGTGATGAGGATGTAACCCTCTCATCTGTGTCCCTGTACTCCACACAGGAGCTCCCTCATCCATCTGCTGTTAAGTAATTTTCATTAGCTCACTAATCAGTATTTGCCTTATTGTTACTATCTAAATGCTCTTCCTGAGTCTTGTAATAATATATGATTAATTTTCCTTTTAATGTAACTTTTTGCTTTTTCTGAAATTAATCCTCATCCAGGAGCTTTCTGTTGTGCTTCGTTTTCTGTGCATAGCTGTCAGGCTTGCACTCCTGGAGCCCTTTCTTCTCTCTCTTGAGTTGGATCTCCCCTTCATTCCATCCCTTGTTGTTATTTTAAATTCGATTAAATATATTGAATTAGCTTCTTAATAAAAGTGCATGGGAGGTAAATTTTTTGAGACTTTCTCAGAAAATGCTTTCATTCTATCCTCAGAATTAAGTGATTGGCCAGGTATAGAACTCCAGATTACAAATCATTTTGACTTAGAATTTTAAAGGTATTGCTCCATTGTTTCCAGCTTCCATTGTTGCTTTATCTTTTTGTTTCCTGCCTGTATGTCCTTTGTTATTACTGTGTGGAGGCTTGTGAGATCTTCTCTTTGTCCCTAGTCTGAAATGTCACAGTGCTGTGCCTGGTTGTGTGGGGAATGCAGTGGGCACTCCTAATCTGGAAACTCATTTGCATTAGTTCAGCGCTGTTTTCTCCATTTTCTCTTTCTGGAATGTGTCTTTGGACTGGGTCACTTTTCTTACCTTTTCTCTCCTACCTCTTATTTTCCTCTACTTTGGGGGAAATTTCCTCAACTTTATTTTCTTTTTCTTTTTTAACTATGGGACGCTTCACAGAACAAATTGCGTATCATCCTTGTGCAAGGGCCATGCTACTTTATTGTTCCAATTTTAGTATATGTGCTGCTGAAGCGAGCACTCAACTTTATTTTCGAAACCTTCCATTGAGTGTTTCATTTCTCCTATCATGTTTTTAAAATCCAAGAACCTTTGTTCTTTTTTCATGAATGCGATGTCTTTCCTTATCTCTCTGAGATTAATGTACTTTTTTTTAAGCTTTTTTCTTCCTACATAACCTACTTCCTCCAGTTTTTTTTTCCAGGTTGTTTGTTTGGCTGTCTTTCATGTTAGGTGCTTTTCTCAGGTGTCTGATGATCCTAGCTTGCTCATATTTAACCAAAATGCCAGTTAGAAGCCCTGAGAGCCAGGCTGGGTGTTGACTGTAGACTTCAGAGTCTGGTGGTTTGGCTGGGCAGTGTGTCCTCCAGCACTGGGTATCAGGATCTTTCGGGATTTCCTTTGGGGCTGGTTGTCCAGTTGATCTTCTGTCTGGAGTGGAGGAGGGAGGACTCATCAGAGTTCTCAGTCTTTTGTAAATTGTCATTGAATTTTCTTGTTTCAGTAGATAGCCCTATCCTCAGCTGTGCCTGGTTTCCTGCAGTGCACAGTCCTCTCCAGAGAATAAAACCCCAGATGTCTACTGGCGTGGGAGTAGACAGGGTAGGCATCCATGTAGCTGAAGCAAGGAGGGGATTTGGGGCTCTAAAGGCTCCTTAGATAGACATTCAATCAGTCCTTCGGTTTTTGTCTCTACATTCACACCCATTTTCAGAAGTACTGCCAATTCTTAAACGTTTGGAGTCTCCTCCAGGATAACCAGGCTGCTTCTCAGTTTGTCTTATTCCAAGTTCAGGAAGCCACTTTCTCAGATCTAGGTTGTCAACTTAGGTCCACCTGCTTTTCTAACTTGCAGAATTTTATTCCTTTGTTTTCTCTCTCATTCTCTTTTTCTCTAAAGGATTACAACTTTTAGAAATTCAGTTTAATTCTGTCCATTCTAATGGGGTGTGGGAAGAGAGGGAAAATCTGTCAACTTTCCTAATAATTCTCTCCCTCCATTCTTCGTCAGAGATATTTAATCTTACGTATACTTGGTCCTATTTTGAGATTGATTTGATTGAAGGTCTGCTTATTTGATGACTCAATTTTTGTCATTTATTATCATCTATTCAGATTCTCCCACTTAATGAATGTGTGCCATGTTAACTTTAAGGCATTTACTTGACAAAATGATGGAATGCCATTCCAGAGATTTCTCCCCCTCCTTGCCTGAGTAGTTTTTGTATGAAGGAGCACTGGGCTCCAATCCTGACTCTTCCACCTGTTAGCTAGTGAACGTGGGAAGCTTTATCTTTCTGGGCCACAGTTGCTTTATTTGTAAAATTGGGGCTAGGATAGGTTTGGCATGTTTATGTGAAATCACAAAACACACACTACCTGGCTCATAGTAAATGCTATTCACTGTCAGTTGAATTGTCAGTCTGAAAATACTGTAACCACCTATTCTAACATTGACACCATATGAAACATTCAAAGAAAGCTCTTTTAACTTTTGGATTGTTTTATAATTTTCTTTAATGGGTCTAAAATTTAGCTGAAATAGTTTTTTTCTTTATAAAAATTTCAAAATATTTTATCAAATAGCATAAAGTAAAACAATTTTAAGCATTTTTATTTATTCATTCATTTATTTTAACGAGCTACTAGTAAGAACTTTGTAAACTTGACTGTACTGACATATCTCCTTTATCAGGACTATGTGTAAATTAGTCTTGAGATAAGTCAGCATGCTAGTTGAATGTAATTGTGATAAGGTTTAGAAAAATTAAATTCTGCCTAGTGAGTCCTCAGTTATAGTTCTTTAAATATGAAAGTGTTAATATTTCTAATAACCCCTGATTTTAAGGTAGCAAACTATCTTGTTATCTTTATTTCTTCTTCCTTTCTTTTCCCCTCCCCCAAGAAAAAACAGTTGCTTTCAGTTCTGAAGCTCATCTTTTTCTTACTTGGTTGATTGCAGTAAACTACCAGATGGTTTACCTACATCCAGATCCATCTTACTTTACTCTCTAGTATGTTCTTTGTCAATTACTGTTTCTGAAATGGAAATTTTAGAATTGCCCCTCTGTTCCTTAAAATCCTTTAGTAACTTCCATTGGTCTAAAACTTTAGGGTGGCATTCAAGACTTTCGTGACCTGGTCCTCATCTGGCTTTCTGAAGTCATTATATGCATATGCCTCTCCTTCCCATATACCCCAAGCTTTAACCAAATCTCTAACACTTTCAAGTTTTGTGATCTCAGCGTATGACAACTTCTACTTAAACCTGACTTGGCATTTGTGTTAGGAGGACTGAAGCCCTCCTTTTCACTTGTTTAATTTTCAGTATTTTATAATTGCTTATTTAATTAAGATGTGAGTAGTATGAAGGTAGTAATTTTTATTTTAGTCTCTCTCTTTTTTTTTTTTTAACTATGCATGCCTAACATTCAAAGTTTGTTCATTGGGTGATTGTGTATGTTTGGCAATGTGTAAATGTTTTGTTTTGAAAACAGAAATTGTTGTAATTTTATATAAATAAAATCGGGCAGAATTTAATTCAAATAATAAATATGTTTTATAGCCTTCAGTTTGGAAACCTGCAGAATTATGATTGCCATGTTGGATGTATCCTTCACTAAAAATAGAAAATATTGGAATATAGAATATTAAGGCAATTGTTAGATATAAATGATTATAGTAAACTAAAGAGTTTAACAATACTTTGTAACATCCTGTTTGAATTCCATTCTTTTCCATTTTTACACAGAAATCTATTTATATGCTAAGTTTGGCTAACTCTTGCAGAAATGAACTTAACAATTTTTTAGTCAATTATTTGGAGTTTTGGGTCAGGGTAGATTCTTTGGTATCAAAACTTATTTTTGTTAATAAAACTATCAGAGAGATTACACAGGAAAAATGGGATTTAATGAATTCAAAGAACTTTGGGCAGCTCTTAATGCCTGGAAGCAAAATTTCATAACTGTTGATAAAGACAGAAGTGGCACAGTAGAGCGTCATGAATTGAATCAAGCCATTGCTGCTATGGGTAAGAATATTAAATTCTTTAGAATCGATCCAGGTCATCTTTGTTCAGATGAATATTAATTGTTTAAATTTGCTAAGTAATAAAAGGGTATATTATTTCACCAGCTGTTGTCCAATTTGATTTCAAGGTTATAGATACATTCTGATTTAAGACCTTTAACAAAACCATTTTATTTCTGAGTTTTCCAAAGATGATCTTTCATACACTCTGGTTGATAAAACAATTTCTGAATTTCCTATGTTGAGTATACTCAAATTTATTCTAATTGTTTGTACTCACTTACCATTTATATTGTATTCTTTTGTAACTTGGTAAGATCTCTAATTTGACAGCAAAGGCTTATCTCAATTACAGGTCTCCATACATAGTCTAGCTTTCTAGCAGTAAAACCTGTTTTTTTTTGTTTTTCTTCTTTTTTTAATGTAGTGTAGAACACACAGCAGACACTGGAAAACCTCAAAATGGGAAGTCTACATTTTAGAATATCTTAAAAGACTGTAAATTTATTTTTAGCATATCTCTGATAAGCTAAGGTTCTCAGTCTATTTTCTTTCAAAAAGTGATAATATAAATGGTGTTTAACTTGTTTACAGTTAATGCAATTTTAAGTAGTTTTCTTAATTGTATTTACTTTTGTGATTTTATTTACACTCATTTTTAAACAAAATTCTTTTGTAACAGAACTTTTTGAGAGATTTTAACTTTCAGAAATCTGAACCAAGTGCAAATTATCTCAAATTCCAATTTAAAGTCAAAGCCATGATTAGTTTCGTTGTATCAATAGATGTTTTAATAGATGGTCATTTTAGGGACAGCCCTGGCCATATAAACATGTATAGTTCAGCTACAGAGTCTTAATTCCTAATGAATTAAACTTGGTTCTTAATTCAGCACAGTGTTGGAAAATTAATATAACCAATTGCAAAAAAGAAAACCACCGAAGAGTTCACATAGGCAGTTGAGTGTAACAAAGAGGTATTCTGTATTTTTCAAATTTAAGGTCTTCAGACATATTTTAAGATATTCAAATTATTTTTGCTGAGAATGCTATGGAAAATCTTATGAATTTTATCAGTCCCACATCCAGATCATAATTCTCTAATAGAAAGCTCAGGGCTTATTTGCATATAATTACATTAGTTTGCATATATGGCTTCTATTAATTTATACCTTTCATTTACTTTTAGCAAGTTTCCTGGATTGTATTTCATTATAGCTATGCATAGAATTATCTTCTGTTGCATTTGTTTTTATTATTTTTCCCTTTGACTGGATTGATGTCTTTTGTCTAAATCTACTAATCCATTAATATATAAAGACAATAATTCTAGGCCAGCATTCTTCACAATAAAGTGTACCCATTCATTAAATACATAAGACCATCTGTAGGGGTGCAACAAGTGGAATATATTAATTTATATTTTTAATTACTTTTATTCCATTCTTTTTAAATTTTAGTTTTATATATACTTTAAAAGGTAAATAATCAAATAGTAATTCATGTATAGAATTTAAAACTAAATGAATACACATATAATGGGAGTGAGTGATCCAAAACTTCTTACTCATAGAAGTACACATTCAAAAGCTTTTGGAGTCCACTGGGCTAGACAATAAAGAACCAAGGAAACAGTAAGAAGACTGTGGTTAAGATGAAAATCTGTGAAGAAACAGAATAAGGGTTATAGGACAAAATGGAATAACATTTTCCTATTTCTCCCCGCTCTGAGTAACCATGTTGATTCTCAGATTTTCTTTGACTATAAAAGACACTTGTAAGCAATATAGTCAATGGGAAATATAGGTTTGAATGATAGCAAAGATCACTAATAACCTTTGCTTTGATTTTTTTTTTAATAGATTTGTTTTATTTATTTATTTATTTTTAAATTTATGCCTGTGTTGGGTCTTTGTTGCTGTGCACGGGTTTCTCTAGTTGCAGTGAGCGGGGGTGCTCTTCATTGCAGTGTGCAAGATTCTCATTGTGGTGGCTTCCCTTGTTGTGGAGCACGGGCTCTAGGCACGTGGGCTTCAGTAGTCGTGGCTCGCAGGCTCTAGAGCGCAGGCTCAGTAGTTGTGGCGCACAGGCTTAGTTGCTCTGTGACATGTGAGATCTTCCTGGACCAGGGCTCGAACCTGTGTCCCCTGCACTGGCAGGTAGATTCTTAACCACTGCACCATCAGGGAAGCCCTCAATTTCATTCCCTTTTATGGCTGAGTAATATTCCATTGTATATATATATATACCACATTTTCTGTATCCATTCATCTGTTGTTGGACATTTAGGCTGCTTACATGACATGGCTATCGTAAATAGTGCTGCAGTGAACACTGGGGTATCATTCCTTTTTATGGCTGAGTAATATTCCATCGTATATATGTACCACATTTTCTGTATCCAGTCATCTGTCGTTGGGATGTTTAGGTTGTTTACACGTCCTGACTGTTGTAAATAGTGCTGCAATGCATATTGGGGTACATGTGTCCTTTGAGTTATGGTTTTCTCAGGGTATAGTAGTGGGATTGCTGGGTCATATAGTAGTTCTAGTTTTAGGTTTTTTTTTTTTTTTTTCGGTACGCGGGCCTCTCACTGCTGTGGCCTTTCCCATTGCACAGGCTCCGGACGCACAGGCTCAGCGGCCATGGCCCACGGGCCCAGCCGCTCTGCGGCATGTGGGATCTTCCCGGACGGGGGCACGAACCCGTGTCCCCTGCATCAGCAGGCGGACTCTCAACCACTGCACCACCAGGGAAGCCCCTATTTTTAGTTTTTTAATGAATCTCTGAACTGTTCTCCATAGTGGCTGTATCAATTTACATTACCACCAGCAGTGCAAGAGGGTTCCCTTTTCACCACACCATCTCCAGCATTTATTGTTTGTAGATTTTTTGATGATTGCCATTCCAAAGCAATCTACAGATTCAGTGCAATCCCTATCAAATTACCAATGGCATTCTTCACAGAATTAGAACAAAAAATTTTACAATTTGTATGGAAACACAAAAGGCCCCGAATAGCCAAAGCAATCTTGACAAAGAAAAATGGAGCTGGAAGGATCAGGCTCCCTGACTTTAAACTATACTACAAAGCTACAGTAATCAAGACAGTATGGTACTGGAACAAAAACAGAAATGTAGTTCAGTGGTACAAGATAGAAAGCCCAGAGATAAACCCACACACATATGGTCACCTAATGTAGGACAAAGGAGGCAAGAACATACAATGGAGAAAAGACAGCCTCTTTAATAAGTAGTGCTGGGAAAACTGGACAGCTACCTCCAGTCCTCCCAGAAACACCCAGAGCTCTGATATTCTTTAAAGAACTATAAAGTTACAGGGTTGAAATATTGATGCATTAAAAAAAACTGTGACATACACTAGACCTTATTTCAAAATCCAAATATATTTTAAAAGCACAAAAAGATAATTATTTTCTTTTTCCTAGCTATCACTTTTTTACAAAGCTAGAATTGTGAGAATTATGTACCACTTCACTATTAGTAATGAAACCTTTGTCTGATCAATTTCAATTGGAATGTGTTTTGTTTCTAATGTATATTTTTATGTAATGAATTTTGAATGTTAATTTGTTTTATGACTTTATTAACAAGAATGCATTGTTTGTTGTGTTCTTTTGATGTTTAGTTTTGGAAGTTTTAATCTAGCAATCCCTTTTTCTAGGTTATAGGTTGAGTCCTCAAACGTTAACTGCTATCGTTAAACGTTATAGCAAGAATGGCAGAATTTTCTTTGATGATTATGTTGCTTGCTGTGTGAAGCTTCGAGCATTGACAGGTATGGACCATTTATGGGTACGGTATCATGTAGCTTTTTTCTTGAATGGTGTCCCTCACTTTCTTCAGCAAGTTGATGGTATTATGTATTTTCCCCCTTTATTCACTATTAAATCTAATCAGAGCTTTAAGGCTTTAAAAATTTAGGATTATAAATAGTGAAAAATTATTATAGCTCAGTTTTGGAAAGTTTTCTTCATTTCTCAGTTGCCTGGGACATAAAATCACTTAAGATTTACTTGAGTATAAAGTTATTCATTTTTTAGTACCTGGGGACACCAAGTATTTAAAACTATAGATTTTAAATTATAACAGAAAAAGTAATTTTTTTGTTTAAAGATTTCTTTAGGAGAAGAGACCACTTGCAACAAGGGGTTGTGAGTTTCATATATGATGATGTAAGTATCCTGTATTACACTTTTGATATTTATACTGTGTTCTGTATATGTTTACAGTTGTCAAAAAATTTAAGTGATCTCTGGTTTCAGTACTGGAAAAAATATATTTTAGAGACCATATTCTTTATGTTTTTCAGCTTAACGCAAATGTAAGATTCAATCGTGGTAGAAATACCAATTTGACTTTATAGTAAACATAAAAATACTTTTAAATTTTATGACAGACTTTTGGCAGTTTATGTTGCAAATCATTTTTAAGGGCAAAACTACCATTGCTTTTATAAAGAGTAATTTACTTGTGATGGTCTTTCTTCTAAGAGAGATAGGAAATTTTCATCTATGATAGGTAATGGAACTGTTCATTTCTCATTTCAGATGGTTGCTATTAACCTGATTCCAAGTTTGTTTTAACTGAAGGAGAGGTTATATTTCACATGTTCTTTAGTGTTTCAAGGTTTTGTTTTATTTTTGTTATGTAGGAATTATAGGGTCAACTTTACCCTACTAGTATAATACTGGTTTGAGTTACAAGCCTTAGAAACTCAAAATTTCTCCTCTTGTGAAAATGCTTCTGTGGAATATAATTAATCAAAACCAAAACCATTTTGTTGTTACCAGCTGGTGATTTTGCTTATGTATTAGTTTTTGCAGGGCACTATGGCAATTTGATAGTATAGAATTTGAAGGCTGAAGAAATACTGTGAATTTCTCTGCTTGGAAGAAATGAACTGAACTACTTTGAATTAAAGCTTTTGGGGCTTTTCCATGTTCCTGTCTGTTAAATCTCTTCTCTTTCTATGTGTTTTTACTTTAGCTCACCATGCAAAGCAGTAAAAGAGTTGTTTTTGTATTTGTAATATTTATATAAATATATATAAATTTATAACTTTAGGGATATCTGCATAATAAATATTGGTATCTGATTAAGTGATATAAATACCTCTTAGTTTTAATTTTCTTTCTTACTTACAAGATAGATTATGTAAGAAGCCAAATGATGAAAGCCTGGATAAAACTAATTTATACTTACCTGAAGGTTACAAATTATACTTGGAAATTTTGTAGTTGTTGGTATTTGAGGGTGAGCCAGAAGGGGAAGCCTAGATTTTGCGCCATCTTTGTAATAGAGTTTGTTCTTTGATCACATAATCAGAGAACAGAAACTCATGAGTCTTTGCCTGTGAAGAAGAAAATTGTAGTTCCTAAAATTTTATCTTAAATCACCTTAGGTGAACCATAAATTAAACTATGGTGAAATAAAACTACAGGAGGCATTGTTTCTCCTTTTTAAATTTTTTGCAGGATATATTTTCCTTCAATATGTTTTATTGTCTTCTGTGGAAAAAAATTCTTAATAAACATAACATTTTTCTCTGCACTTTATAGGTAACCTAAAATGGCATCTTTTTCTAAATCTAGATTTTCTGGAAATGACGTATTTTTAATGAAATGTCAATATTTAAATTTGTCCTTTTAAACTAAATTGTTTATACATAATGCTGTTAACTGTTTAGAAAGTTTAAAAAAACTCCAGTAATCTACCACTTTGTTTAAATGTTCAGAAATTGTAAGTTTGACTTTCTTGACAACATTAGCCAGTGATTTTGGCATTAGTAAACCAATAAGTCTTTACCACTAAGTGTAATGTGGGTCCTAAGCATGGTAGGCATCATGGAAGCATTTTTGAGTGGTGTTACTACAAAAATTGCAAAGTGGAGTCACCAGGTCCTTAGCATTTAAGATTCCTGGTATAAGCTGCTGCAGTTAATCCAGTCCCTTTCTGGGAAAACACCCCAAAGTCTTCCTTAATGAAGTTTTAATAAACCACATATTTTTTCTTACACTTTAACTGAATATCTTCCAGCTTAACAGTGCAAATGGCATGACCTTAATATGGCTCGTGACCAAATTAATAGTTTTTCATTAAAAAATTTTTCATTAAAAATGGAGGATGAATGGTAGTATCTTGAAAAAACAACCTTTTATAAACTTTCACTTTAAAAAAATCCTAGAAAGGAAGTAATATATATTCATGTTGATATTGATAATTTTATATAATTAGCTGTCAAATTCATTTGGTCAGCTTTATAAAAATGTGTGAGTAAATAATCCATGTAATTTTGTCCTCTGGCTGTTAATTTTTTTTTCATGAACATATATTTGATAATGTGAGAGCATGTTAACTGAGTCATAAAAGCTATCGAATTCTAATTAGAAGTGTTGTAGGAAAAAGCTAATGTAAACACACTGTATATCATTCATGTTGAATAAGGGTGATACTATGACTTGGTAGCATGGAATCTTAACATCCGATTTATACAGGTGGTTGTTACTGTCCTATTCTGAGGTCAATTATAATTTTCCTTATTTGGATGCTCATAGTTGAGGTAAAACTTTTAAAATGGCTTGACATGACTCATATAAGTTTTGCCAAATGACACTTTGTGTTAGAAGTTCTTCACACAATTCTCTAAGTCATCCTTTTCCAAAGGTGTTCCTGTGACTTCTGGTCATAGGAGGTCTGTGAGGAAGGAGTTTCCATGACCAAATGTATTTGGGAAAGTCTCACCTTCCTCAGGGAGCTTAATAAAACCTAAGGTACAGAAATTTTCATTTAATTTTATTTGACCCAGTTTTTTCCGAACTTTTTTTTTTTTTTTAACCACAGAAACTTTCCTCTTAGCAAAACTAATGTTCCATGCCAATCCAGCCCAGTTGTCAGACAGTTCTTTTGCACTTTACATTAGATAGATAATTACATAAACATTAGCCTTAGAGAATATATTACTAGGATTTTTTTGCTGAAATGCAATTCCCATTTTTGATGCTTTAAAATAATGTAAACAGACATCCATTACTAAGGTAAAAATTAAATAGTTTTACAGGGAGTATGACTGGAATATGAATATAGTTTAGTAGTTTGTACTGGTTAACTCATGCCCCAGTTTTCTTATGATGATGTAAATTGTTGAATAATGTACACTCTTAATGTCTAAGTGCTTTTATTTATCCAATAAACATGTTTCCATGTCATTTTGAGAATTTTTTTAATAAACATTCAAATAGCTTGCTGTAAAGTTTTGCATCATACAAAATCTGTTACATATATATTATGAGATGCTTCAGTTCAAATAACAGTGCAGTAATTCACCTATGCCTAAAAGACTGCCAAATGATTAAATGTCAGGTATTACACTTCTATTTCGAGTGGCAGTTTACACATTTTAAATTACATCAAGGGGAGATTAACAAACACTATTGGAATCTTAATTTGGTCCACTTTAAATGTTATTTCAAGGACTGCCCTCAATTGATCTATCAAGCATGAATTCAGAAACAAAAAGTAATAAAAAAAAAATGTCAAGTGATATGTTTATTTCCAGAAAAGGCATCTACCCTGGAAGAAAGTAAAATTTATCAATGTAGTTAAAATCTGTGTAATTAAGAACATAAAAAAATTAATTTGTGATGATTTCTTTAAATATACAAATCAAGTTCACCTGTTATGGCATTACTAAACGACAAACAAAAGAAATACTATTTGTCAGAAGTGTGCTTTTCTTTGTGCTTCCTTTTATGTTTGACTCAAAAATGATATGTTTTCTTTGTAGCAGTTTTCTGGGAAATTAATAGGAATAGATTTGTCAAAACCTGGTAAATTAAATCTAGTGAGTAAAATTCAATACATTTTTCAGGGTAGCATATTTTTCTTTTAAACTTTAAAATGCAACCATGGGTGTTTGATTACTTTGAAACTTGTATTAAAAGATCACATTTTTGTTGGTCTTTCTTAATCAAATCATTTTCATAGCAAATTAAGCATTTTGAAATAAATGTACAATGCTAAGTTATCATCTAAGAGTATATCTATCTTGACTTCATAATAATATTAGATGACACAAAGAAAAAATAAATATTTAGAACTTCTGTTATTACAGTGATGAATGCAGGCAGGATTTTAAATGACTACTGTTTAGAAAATTGGTAGTCTAGAATAAGATCATAACATCACATATGTCCATACTGAATTCAAATTGTCCTGTAACTTAGAATTCTGAGCACAAAACTACTTGCCAGAAAACTGGGAAAGTTATGAAAAATTTCTCTGTCTCACTATCAGCTCATTATCTGAATGCTGGGAAACCTGCGTTTTTGTTTCTTGCCATGTCTTTTTCTACTTATTTTAAAAAACATATAGTAAAGAAAAGAGCCTTATATTACTTAACATTCGTTTTACCCATGTAGCTTGGTAATATGCAGCTTTGTGTATTACATTTTGAGCATTCAAAACTCAGATGTGCTTCTATATCCGAATATATAGTAAGTAGACCTTGGTGGCACTTCTATGCTACTATGATGTGCCACAGAGTTAGGGAATGAGTAGGCTCCTTGCCTATGTGCTACTTACGTTTTTAGGTGTGTCCCTTCTGCAACATCAGAGATGGTGGCAATTTGGAAATCTTACAGGGAGTGAGAAGAATTGGTCTAGGTCATTTAATAGCTATATTCAGAGACAAGTATGCCAGGAATTAGTACCCCTCCTTGTACTGTGTGTGTGTGTGTGTGTGTGTGTGTGTGTGTGTGTGTGTGTGTGTGCAACCTTTTCCCATAAAATATGAATATGTACTCTACAGATATACACATATAGTCATTTGCGTTTTAGTTGACTGTATTTAATCACGTTTTATCTTGTTATGATTACTGAAATTGCAAAGGATAACCTGAACACTGCTAGTATGGATGTTCTAG